TTACGTTCGGAAACAACAACAAAAATTAGATGAATCAGCACGGCGTTATATTCATTCCCTCTCTCCAACAATGCCATTGTATTCTTTGTCAACGAAATGAATACTCTTCAAAAACTGCCGAACTCATCAAAATGCAAATAAAAAATCATGTGAATGACATTCGAGCAATCGTTGAAGAGTCACTGACTGACATCACTGTGTTACTTCACAAAAAACAAATGAATTTCTCTCCACTCCATCTGGCGAAATCATTCGCATGTCATTGTTGGAAGAAAGAGAGAAGTTTTTTGTTGTAGCCAATGTTATGTGATGAAATTTCTGAGTGGAGAAATTTCGTAACCTTTCTTAGAAGAAAAAGTTTCGTCGAAAAGAAATTTTGACAGTTCGCATACAACAAAAGAGGAACTGATGATTTTTCTTGCGAATGGCAATTAATTAGAGGTATTCTTAGAGGTCAAAGTAATTAAAGGTGTATTGAGGTCTTAAGGAACACATTGTTCGAGTACTTTGCAGTGTTACCTTCGTGGTTGGCTTAGCAAAGTTGGCTAGAGCTTGTCCTTGAGATTTGAAGATCTTGACGTTAGCCGAGAGGAGATCCTTACGTTCCATACCTTGTTTTCGTGGCATAGCACCGACAAGGAACGCGTAGTCGATATCGTGGAAGGCATCCTTTTCATTTGTACTCACGACTATTTCTGCAATTTTCACCGTTCAACTACTCCACATTATAATTTCAGCACGAATTCAGCACATTGAGTAGTTTTAGCGCATTGAGATGCTCAATTCAATTCAATGATAATACCTTTAACGTTGGCCAGAGCACAGTCCAACAGTTCAAATTGAACACCCTCGAGTGCACTTTGCATTTGTGGAATATCCAAAAGTACCAAGACGATTGGTGTTTCCTTGCCGAAAACATCACCCTTTGCGATTTGCAGCGAAAGTGAGTAGCCAATTTGGCCAGCGGCTCCAGTGACAAGAACACGAATTGTACTCATTTTCAACACGCCTTAATTGTGCTTTCGGATGAGAACATTCGATTATCAAATAACATCTGAATCAATCAAAAACGCATCTGAAGCAATACGCAGTACATAAGCGAGATAATCGCACACTCGCTCGATTTCAATAAATTGTTCAACGATATCGACTGGTGTCGCATTTAACTGGCGATTTCTGCAGACTCTCAGCCCATCTCTACCTATATCCTGAACAATCGTGGAACTGCACTCGTTCTGGGATCAGCCTTTCTATCGATCAAACTCTTTCTTAAACTTATCTTATTCATTGCCGTTTTATTGATGATAAAATTTTTCCAACATCAAATCGTCATTAAAACCCTCGTGAAAGGCAAACAAATCAGAGAACAAGCGAACATTGCATTTACAAAGAAGACGAAATATTAAGAAGTGATAGCAAAAAGTGAACAAATGTGATGTTTGGTTTCCATTATCACACTAGCAAAAAGAGAAGAACGAATGTCATGAGGAGAGATATATTCATCTTGAGAAGCAAACAATTTCCTCTGTTTAAAACATACATTTTCAGCAAAGAGGCGATCATTTTGATCAATTAACAACTCAATTAATCATCAACCCTATTCACTCACATTCTTGAAACTAGTGTTTATCCTGGAGCAACTTTATGGTATAAGTGTCCGCCCGTGTGGAAGTGGTATTCAGATTCATTCATCTGATGGGACGTCGTCTGAACGAATCCATGAACGAATCAACACTTTCCATCGAATAATTCTGCTATATAAGTGAAGAAAAAAAATTCGAGCATGTAACATAATTTCTTGCCACATAATCAAACCACAAAATTCCAAACGACCGTATCACCCTTCAGCAGGACCCGCCCGAATGTATTAGAAAACGAAAAGAAATGAATTGAAAGACGAAATGAAAGCGTGAATATAAATCATATCTTGAAATATGGCACGTGTGGTATATTCAATAGTCATCCAGCAGCACAACGGAGCAACCGAGCCGATACCCTCACAATCGAATAACTACATCGAATGGCAACCGGCTGCCGCATCTCCTCATCATTATCAGAAGCCTGCACCAT